GAAATCACCAACCAACCATGAATAGGTGGGAGGTAATAATATGATAATGATTTAAAACGTGTATAAATGAAATAATAAAGCTTGCTATAGGTGTGCCTGATTTGTGGAAAACCCACTGAGCATCCTGTGTAGAATAAACACAAAATCTCTCCTGAGCCTGTGAGATTGGTTAATTGCACGCCAGGTACGGATCTGCTTTTTGGACAACACAGGGATTTTTACCCCCAGGGTGCCTTGGAACTGCAAAGAAATTAATGATAATATTCCTACTTTCTGACACTACTGGGATGCTGAGGGCAGCACTGGGCTCTACAGCCCTCCTGCCTCCCCAGGGCTGGGATGAGCTGGGAATGAGAAACAGCTGGGAGAAGTTCTGCTGGGAAATGCATTTAATCTCAGGTCCTGGGTTGGCTGATCTGGCATGGTTTTGGTGGACCTGCTGTGCTCTCCTCGCCCAGGGACTGGGATGTGGTATCCTGCTTGGTGAGGTCCATGCCTGCTTTGCTGTTGCCCTCACCTCTTTTTCCCAGCCCACTCCTGCTGGCAGATGTGCTGCTCTGGTTTTGTGGTGATGAGGATTAAGTAGAAGGCTAAAAAGGTAGAAAATGTAGATTTAAAAAGTGTAAAAATACTTGACAGTAAAGTGAAATGTGGCTGATGCTGCTGTGTGGACAGCATCACCTGTCCATGTTTAAATTGCATCCTTCTATAGACTATTTTCCAGGGCTGTGTTCCAACACTGTTCCAGTCACATCAGTGTGGCCGAGCATATAAACCCTGGGACATTCCCATTTGGAAATATAATAAGGAAGCAAGTACAAGCAGCATGAAGAAAAAAGCCATCCTACTATTCATAGCTACTTTAAAAATTATTTTGATTTTGGCAGGCAGTTTTTGTTGCCATGTTGTAGCTCATACTTATTTGTGGCTGGTGGCCAGGGTGTGGATGCTTGGAGATGTTATCTCAGGGGAAGAGTTACAGAACAGCTGTAGGTCCATCAGGATAGAGGACAAGGAAAATTTCCTTAATGGTGCCCTTGATTTCCCTGCTGACTGTGTCTCAGCAGCTCTTCTCCTGAGTGAGTCTCTGTGCACTTGGGGGTAAATAAGGACTCTGGCAGAAGAACAAATACAGCAGCCTGTAGGCTACAGGAATGGTGTGGAGAGGAGCTCCCATACTTTAGACAATCTTTAAGGTCCTTCTATTCCCCATGAACTACCTGTCACAAGGATTAAGAGTTTAAATTTATGACTTTATGGAAAGCAATTGGGATCAGGGATGACAGATAGGGAAAATGTACCAGCAAAACCTTCTTTGGTGGGGTACAGTCATGGGATACTTCTACCACAGCACTGGAGATGCAAACACCTCATTCCTAGCATCTGAGGCTTTGGGTTTCTACCATCCTAGGGTTTTTCATCTTCCCACCGTAAGAACATGAACTACTTTAATTAATCAGCAAGCTGAAGAAGGCTTTTGTAGTTGGGTGGCTGGGTGACATGGTATTGTTAGGTATTGTAATGTTGACTCTTTTTTTTGGACGTCTTTACTGTTGGCTCCGAGCCTGTGATGTGCCCCTGCTCTGTTTGTCTCTTTTCCAGCCTGCATATGGGTAGTTAAACACTGGCAGCTACAGCCCCAGCTCTGGTTGAATCAGGAGAGATGTCGAGTTCAGCAGATTTCTGTGAATTAAAATGAGACCTTGACAGCCTTGAGACTGATTTGAGACTGTTCCCTGAGTTTTCATGGTCTTTATCCCCGTGGGGATGTGTTGAGATCTCCTGTGGCAACACAAACACTGTGAAACTGCATCCAGAGCCTGTGGGATGTTCCCAGACCTTGCGGATGTGCTGCATGCAGTGGAGAGCAGAGTGCTCGATGTGACAGTTAGGCACAAAGATGTGACTCCTGCATAGGCAGAGCTTTTGTGAAAGTTGGCATGTAGATGTGAGCAAGCAACGTGGGTGTCCATAAGGATTTGGATATGCACTTAGAACATGTGCAGGTCTGCATCCACACAGCCCTAGAGGCTGGGCTTTTCTGCATCCCTGCCCTTCTGTTTTTATCCAGCCATCTCTCTGTGTTGCCCCAAAAACTGGATCCATCACCTGGTGTGCAAAGCACCGATCCATGTGCAGAGTGGAGGTGTTTTCTTTTATCACATGTGCATGCAGGTACGGGTGCTTGTCCCAAGACAGCACCCAGAGTCTTTAAATTCACACTTATTTATACACAAACATTAATGTATTCAGCATCCTAATACATATATATTGTTATTTTCTTAAATTATTGGTCAATATTTCTTCACCTAGCATGTAAATTAGTAGGCATGCTTGGTCTTGTTACTCTGCCTATTTCTTTTGAGTCAATGGTATGATTTGGGTAGAGGGTCTGTGAGCCAGTGGTCTCAATCTCCCCCTGCCAGAATTAACTTTCCTTTCAGGTCACAGTCTATTGGCAAGTCAAAGCAGCTCATCAGGGTTGGCTGAGTCAGCAATTTATCAGTTTCACTTCTGCTTTTTGATGGCTACATTCTACCTGTCGGACAAAGGTACGTTGTTTAAATCAGAAACCTTGAGCTACCAGTTTTTCTACCTATAGTCCCAGTAAGGATGGGACTATATAAAGGATATTTCTAACAATAATATATACCTGGTTAGTTTAATTTATCTTTTACTGTAACAATTAGCATATATCTAATGGGTTTAATTTTACCTTTTAATTTCTTGACATCATCCCTGTTTACATGCAGGTGCCCAGTTTGTGCATGTACCAACATACTGTGGAAAGCCAGGAATGAATTCACTGGTGTGATTTCATCCCTGTTTCAAGCATGACCTGAATCTTGCAGCTGTCTCAGTTCAGTGGAAGAAGCTGGGGAGGCTGCACAAGTTCTGCAGGCTGGTGAGTTTATCGCAATATTACAGAGCAGGGGAGGAAATTGGGTGACACGTCACAGCCTGTCTTCCTTCATGTATTTCCTGCACAGGCTTTGCAGGCGGAAGGGAAGGGCTGGAGGACTGGGTTGCCTGGAGCTGCACTGTGTTTACAGAGTTGCTTGCTTACCAGCTGGGATATAAAAAGACCTGGAGCTCAGCAGTTCTCTGGGTGAAATTTAGCAGTGTGGCTAATTTCCATATGTGGATGGATTTACCAAAAGGTAAGGAAAAGCTTAAAATAATAATAATAAAAAAAACCCCAATCTCCTCCCCTCCCATCCTGCCAAATATCCCCAAACCCCCTCACTGGTGCATTTAATGTCTCTAAGCCTCCAGCTGCTGAAATGCTGCTGAGCACAGGGTTGTAAACAGGGTCTGTTTGTGTGGGGTGGTATGGAGAGAGCACTTTGCTCATCACCTCTCAGCTGTGTGCTGAAAAAAAGAAAATAAAAAATTGCCATTCACCCTTGGAAAACCCCAGCATCCCCCCCAGAAATGGATAAAGTGCTCCCAGGGCTGCTCCTTCTTGGAGACTTTGCTGGGAAGCAAGTATTACCTGGGGATATTTGCTGGGAAAAAGCAGCAAAGAGCAGCTGCTGAGAAAAGCTGCTCCTTGGCTTTCAAGGGGTTTTAAGCAGTGGCTGGTTTCTGGCTGGGCAGAGGGACCCCTTCCTCACCTTCCCGTGGTGGTGGGTGATGTGGGCAGGGTTGTGTGACTTTGCACATCAGCTGGTGCCCGTGACGTTCAGACACAAAGTGGCTCGTGGCCAAAAGGCCAGTGGGATGGGATGAAAATATTTAAACATTTCCTAGGGTAGAGCATTTCCAGGTCTGCTACTCAGCAGAGGAGGAGGAAGGTGCACAGCCCCTGTCTTCCCCCTCCCTGGGCTTCTGCCTTCCCAACAAGGGCAAGGAATTTGAGCCCCACTGTGCCCAGGGGATGCTGTGAAGCTTTTCCAGCCAGGAAAGTAACATTTAATTTTTTCTTTAATATGTGGCAAAACACGTAGAAGTTACTACAAGGAAATTCATCTAAATCAATTAAATAGAGTATTCATTTCCTGCTGGGTGGAGGGAGAAACCATCCATAACATGGTCCTTGGCTTTCCTGAGGGTAAATTCGTGTGAATTTCTACTTTGGCTTTATACCTTAAGACTTCTCTGTTGCTTTTCTGATTTGCTTAAATAATTTCTTTCCACTTTAGCTTGTCAGACAGTGACTCTTGAAAGCCCTGGTCTCTTGAACCAGCTTTTGCCATCAGGAAAATGGGTATTGGAGCTCCAGGTTTTCTGGATACTAGATAGACATAGATAGATCAGGTCCTACCTGTTTAACCTCTTAATGTTGTCAAAAGCTTAGGAAAGCTTTCTGGTCAGGTAGGGTCTCCTAATTGCCCACAGAAGAAGGAGGGGTTAAGGTTGGCTTTCTATCTCATTCCAGGTGTCAGATAAGGGGTTTACCAGGACTGTGTGTGTGGCTCTTGTCCAAAACTGAAGGGGAATGCCCACCTCTGCCTGCCTGCTGCGTTCTCCACCTGAAAGCATTGCTGGTAGCTGGCTTATTAGGTAACCTGTAATAAGTCTGAGAAAATATTTATAGCAAGAACCCCCTGGGTTCTCCCCAGGCACGTCCCCAAGGGACACCTGCTTGGGCTACGATCTGTCCTGAGAGCAAACGTGATGAGTACATACATCTGGGTAGGTGCTAAAGTTGTACTTCTCGCCAGGCCTTGGCTCTCTGGGCTGGCACTGGCATTGCTGTCCTTAGTGCCCCCTCACAGAGACCTGCAGGACATCAAATGTAAAGGGTGAGGTTTCACAGCCTAATAAAACAAGATTTTCTGTTTATTAATTAGGTGAAGACCGCGAAGCCCTTAAAGAGCAGCCTGTCCTACCTAGTGTGTTTTGTCAGCCAGACTCAAGACCATCCCCCACAATTAAGGCACTGAGCATCACACCTCTCCCATCCTTCAGTGGGATCCCTGGATTCAGCTGAGGAACATCAAAGGTGTGGAGCCCTTCCTCTGACCATGACAGAGCCCACAGCTTGCAACCAGCAGAAGCCATCTACCCCTTCTAGCATGGAGACAGCAGAAGACCTTGCCTTGAAGTTAAATGCTGCTGTGAGGGAGAGTAATATAAAAGATGTGCTGGAGCTGCTGGAGAAAGGGGCAGATGTGAACTCCAAAGCAGAAAGTGGCTGGACTCCACTGCAAAGCGCTGTGCAAGCTGATGATGAGGACCTGGTCCGGCTTCTGCTGGACAAGGGTGCTTGTCCACATGCCAGGAAGGACAATGGTGGCACTGCATTTACTGAGGCAGGGATAGTAGGAAATGTGAATATACTGAAGCTCCTCCTTGATCATGGGTTAAATATTAATGACCATGATGACAATGGCTTCACAGCTTTCATGGAGGCTGCGTGGTATGGGAAGGAGGAAGCCTTGAAATTCCTGTATAGCAAAGGAGCAGATGTGAATTTGAGGAGGGTAGTTAGTGAGGAGAAAGCAAAACTGCATAAAGGAGGTGTGACGGCACTGATGGATGCTTGTAAGGAGGGCCACTTCTCAGTTGTAAAAATTCTTGTAGAAGAGATGGGGGCTGATGTGAACATTTGTGACAACAAAGATAGGAATGCCTTGATCCACGCCCTTGAGAAGGGTTGTGTCAAGGAAATGTACGAGTCAGCTGTCTCCATAGGCCTATTCCTGATGGACCATGGTGTTGATGTGACCAGCAAAGATGAATGTGGGAAAACAGCCCTCATCCTAGCTGTTGAAATGCGGAGCCTAGATCTGGTGAAAGCTTTATTGGAGAAGGGTGAAATAGACATTGATGATGCTGATGAGGAGGGCAACACAGCACTGATGGTGGCTGTAGAGAAAAATGATGAGAGTATAGCAAAGTTGTTGTGTGAAAAAGGAGCAAGGACTACTGTTGGGAACCTTATTGCTGTTGCAAATAGGAAACGTGCTAATAACATGGTACGTCTTCTTCGCATGTATAATGCCAAGTTTGTTCCAGAAACCCATGAAGACTGGGAGCCAAACAGCAAACGCTGGAGGGACCAGCTGAAACAACTCTATGAACTATATCGCCCTATGATTGGCAAACTGAAAACATTTCAATACATCCAGCAGAGAATTCGAAACACTTCCCAAGGTGGCATCTACCTGGGGCTCTACAATGGCACCGAGGTAGCAGTAAGAATAAGACGCAGTACAGAGGGTGACAAAGAGAAAAGCTTCTTCGAACAATGTGCTAACTGTGAACACCTTCTGAAGCTCTTCCAGTTTGAGAAGGCAAGAGGCTACATGTACTTGTGCTTCCCACTCTGGGAGAAAGACCTTGAAGAACATCTGCAGGAACCAGATGGCTTACAAATAGATTACAAAGATGCACTGAGGATGATCTTCCAGGCAGTGAGAGAGCTACACTCCCTTGGATTTGCTCACGAGGATCTGCATCCCAGCAACTTTTTCATAGGTTATCTTTTGCTTTCTCAATGTTTTCATTTTCTTTTCCTGTTGCCTGTAGTTTAAGAGAAGAACATGCTTTGTAGCTGCTTGTAAAAAAACAGATATGAAACACCATTGCAGGTGTCTTTATGCAGAACAAAGTGTCTGTGGCATTAGCTCTCCTCTTTGGATAAGTATAGATATTTAGGTTCCTGCTCTGGCAGGGGGATTGGACTAGATGATCTTTTGAGGTCCCTTCCAATCCCTCACATTCTGTGATTCTGTGATATGTTTGCAGACAACTACAGAGAAGTGAACAGAACAGCTTTCATGTCTTATTAGATCTTCCCTCCTTTCCAGGGCTTTGCAGACAGATCAACCCACAGCAAATCTCTTCAAAGAATTGTTTTGTAAAGAAAGGGTGATCTAGAAGTCAGTGACAGACTGTACCAAAGTTTTCCACCATTAATTTGGTAATGATTTATCTTATTTCCTCAGATTTAGATGGCAAAATTTACTTGGCGGACTTTGATAACAAAAGAAAGTTGATTGAAGGCAAAAAAGAACTTGTAAACTCAGATTTAGAGGTAACTTCCCTGCAAATTAGCCCATGCTTTAAAATTTCAGGTTTGCCTTGATATTTTCTGTTGCTGTGAATCTTAAGGGAAGCCTTTCTGCCTCCTCAACTAGAAAACACCTTGATTTTTGGGAAAGCCCATATAACAGTAGACTCTGCATAAGAATGCCAGTGTTTAGGATGCAAGGCTGTGGCTGGTGCTGGGATATCCACAGATATCCTGTGAGCATGGCTATGGTGCCTGTCTCCTCTATCTTTGGGCCCACAGCTTCAACATTTGTGTGTATTTATATACTGCTGCACACCCATAAGTGCATGTGTGGGTTCACATACACAGTTTCCTCATTGAGGAGTACTAGTCCTCTTCTATTTTTTCCAGTTTCTTGCATCTGGCACGTGAGCAGTGATGTGTTTCTTTGCAGGCCCTCAGCAGGCTTGTGCTGTATGTTTTAACAGGGGGTAGGAAACCCCTTCAGCAAGTCAGTACCAAGGATTTGGCTGCTGATTCCCCAGATTATAAGGAGGCTCTGGACCTTGTAAGTAGCCTGGTCTCTCATGATGAACGAGGCTTGGAAGGTTTGAGCAAACATCCCTTTTTCTGGAGCAAACAGATGTAAGTGCTGGGAGTACAAAGGAAAAGCTTTGAGTATGGGATTTGCCTCTACTGCTGGGAGCAGTGATGTCCTGTTGCAGCTAACGAAGCTCCTCGTTCCACAGCAGGTTCAAATTCCTGAAGAGTATATGGAATAAAATCAAAGATCTCAGCAACCGAAAAGCTATCTTTCAAACTCGTAAAGCTACTGAACGCTTTCCTTATCCACAGTGGACCAAGCAGGTAATCCTCTTCTCTTTGGATGGGTATGAGGTTTGAGCTAGACATTTAAGCAGAAGTTTTTCCTGAGTGTTTCACAGGCTCTGCTTAAAACCAAAGCTGGAAAAAGTAGCCCCACACAAATACAGATAATTGGGGAAATGATTAAATCTAAGCTGCGCAGTCAAAATACACCAGACTGAAGACACTGTTGCTAAAGGGAGCTCTGCTGATGAGGATGGTAGTAGGGGATGGTCGTTATAGAATTAGCTGGCAAAACCCCAAGAGTGTTTGATGGTGACCCCTTAAGAAAAGGCCCTCTGGCCCTTGTTGCCAGCAAATTTCTGGCAGAAGTGTTTTGTTAGATTGGCTCAAAAGCAGTGAGACCAGGCCTGCAAGTAGCATCCTGGAAAGATGTGCTGCATGGTTTGAGATCTGACAGCCTCGGTTCAGTACAGCAGTCCATGTGGTCCTCTCGACAGTGGCACAGTTGGATCAAGATTCCCAAGTCCCTCCTGCACTCCAGCCATGCACAAACATCTCCTGTGCCATGTTGACAGTCCTAATATGAATGTCATGCCTTGGCAAGGCAGGAGAGGAAACACTTAGCAGAACCAAGGGGTCTGTATGGCGCATGCCCTACATGCATTTATCATGATTTATCAATGCAAGATGATGTCCCTGCAGAAAGGATGCAGCTGTGGTGAGTGGAGGTAGGTGTGCTGCTTTTGTGGTGTGCAAAAGGTGGAGAATAATCTATGTGCTTGCTTTTTTTTTTTTTTTTTCCCCCCCCAGATTGACCAAGATGTTTTGGTTATCATGAAAAACCCTAGGAAAGGAAGATCATTTGAATATAGCAACGATGTCACCGACCTACTGAGGTTCATCAGAAACCTGGATGAACATCCAGATACCAGGTACATGTTCATATCCTTGCCCCTGGCACAGTTGCAGTACAGGGACCATCTGGGTATCTGCAAGTGTCAGTGAGTTTGAGAGCAAAATCTTTTCCAGATGGTTTTCCAGAAGGGTGAACACAACTGGAATGTGGGAGAAAGCCCCACTAACGAGATGAGTTTTAACAGACTATCTCCTCTGGCAGTGCAGTAGAGTGTGAAAGGTTGTATGTCACGGCAGCAAACAGTCTGGAGTCAGACCTCAATGTCATCTTCTTGAGGGTAAGAAAAGGAAGTAGACCTCAGATTTTGAAGCAAAATCTGTTTCCCAGATCATCTCCCACAAATTAGTACCTTCAACCAGAGTCCTCCAGAGGGATAGCAGCAGCTTCAGAGAACGGGTGGCAGCTCACTCTGCATCCTTGCCTCTGCAGAGCAGCCTGTGGGGTGGAGAGGTGTCTCTGCCAGCTAAGGCAGGTCATGGCTCTACAGCAGAGGACACTGTGAATGTGTCCTTCTTGGCTGTTATTTTTGCTACAGGTTGGTGTTTCTTATCATGACTCCAGGAAGGTTTTTAGAACACCCTTAAATATTTATATCATCCTTTACGCTTTTGAAAAGCCTCCTTATCTACCTTGCTAGTATTTCCAAAGTGCTGTTGTTTACTGTGCTGAAGTACTTTGAGATATGGATCAGGAAGCACCATCCTGTTAGAAGATCCTGTTATGAGGTCCTGACTCCTAAAGAGCTGCCAGAGTCTTCAATCCTCTACAGTCATGAGGGCTTAATGTGAGGTTAGAGCTGGTGTTAACTTCTAGTGATGGTTTCATTGACGCTGGTGGCCAGCACTGCTCTTCAGTGAAGATGCAGGTGGGATTAGGCAGATGGAGGTGCTGAAGGAATGGCAAAAAAATGGATTGAGTAGCTTAGGGAAGGTATAGAAAAACTGCAGCTCAAAGATTTCTAGGAAACCTTCCTCTCTGGCTTTTTCTCTGTAAGGGAGGAACCAGGGTATCCTGGACACTTGACTCCTTGGGCAAATTTTAAAAATCCATTTTTTTTTTTTGTTCTTTTTCAGCATCAGCAACATAATAGGAGACCATGCTGAGTATTTCTTGGAGGTTTTTCCAGCACTTACCATTTATGTCTACAACAGTTTACGCCGGAATCCCAAATATAGTCACTTTGCAGACATTCAGGACCATTCTCCATAGGATGTCATTGCCTTCTATCCTGTGTCTGAACCCACCATTGCTGCCTCTTTTTATTCCCTATTTCTTCATCTGCAAAAGAGATGAAGAAAGTGGGTAAGAAGATGAGAGAGAGCACATGCAGGGACAGAGCATGGAGGACTTGGACTAAGAAATGAAAGATGCTTCAGAAGTGTTTGGTGCAGCAACCATGGGCTTTGGAGAAGAATCAAGCTGTGTGCCAGCCCAGATCCCCCTTGACTAGCTCCATCTCTCTGGGCTTATCCATCTCTGTAAGGTGGAGATCAAGTCCCTGATCCTTATGGAGAGCAGGGAGATGTGGGACAGTCCCCATTATACCCAACACATCTGGGAGGCAGGAGAAGAGCTCAGGCATTGCCAGACACCAAGGGACTCTCTGGTAAAGGAAAAGGAGGTTGAGCTCCTTGCTAGGGACAATATTCCCTACAGTTTGCACTGATGAGCCACTCATGTACCCCTAGAAAGACATGGAGTCTCTTTTCAGTCTTTTTGAAACACAGCAGACAGAAAATGAGACACCTAGGCAGTGATCTGGCTGCACAGTTGTCCTTGTCCCGTTATCCCTCTGATCTGGTAGAGGTACACTCAGCCCAGACTGCTGGGACCTGAAGGACTTCTGTTGGGGAACACAGGAGATGTTTCCATGAGGAACAGATGTAAGAAGCACCATCCTGCAAAACCCTGCTACTGTGAGTAGTCCTGACTCACCTGAAAAAGGTGACTGACTTCAAACAAACCCATTTCTGCAATCCTGCGGCATGCAATGCGTGTCTGATTGTCCAAGGGCTTGCTTGTTGTCCAAGGGCTTGCTTGTTTCTTTGGCTAACGATCTGCTTTGCACAATGATTATATGTTGCTTTTTCAGCTCTTGAAAAGATTTTTCATGTTTTTCGAACTGAGATTGTTATTCTTTCAATTAGCCTATGGAGAACCAAACTTGGAATAAATTTGCCTGGAGAACTGACCCTTATTGCACTCATTTATGAAGGAGGTCCCCCATCCCTTCTGCACAGAAAGAGATCATCTGCAGCATTATAAAATACCCAAAAGGCTGGGATTTTTGGTTTTTCCTGTGGCAGTGCCTTTTGGTTGTTTAGGTAAGGTGGTGGATGGCTTTGTCACTTTTCAGATGAATAGCTTCTGGTCCCTATGGGTATTTGACATGAAAAGATGTTGGGAAGTGCTGAAGGCTTCCTCTCCTGGGAAGCAAGCTGTCTCGAGAAATAATGGACTAGCTGGTGGGGGTTTGGGCATTGTTTTTGTGGCATGCTTGCTCACTGTCCACCCCTCAGGGGATAAGGGAGAGAATTGGGGAGCAAGGGTAAGGAGACTCATAGGTTGAGATAAGAACAATTTAATCACTGAAATAAAAGAAAACTTATAATAATGATATGAAAATAATAATTATTATAGTAATTAAATATGCAAATGAGTGATACCCCATGCAACTGCTCACCACCCACAGACCAAGCCCAGCCCATTCCCAGATCACGATCCCGGAGGAGCAACAATCCCGACCCGAAACCGCAATCCCGGGAGAGCCAGAGCCCGAGCTAAAGCCAGAGAGAGCAAGAGAGGAAGAGCCCCTCATGGATCTCCTGCCCATGGGGGACAGGAGATGGAACAGCCCCTTGGCAGAGCCCAATGCCCATGGAGCTTCTTAATTTAAATATTCCTCACCCCCCCTAGATCTTTCTCTTGCAGACCAGCAAAACATGATGTCCTTCAACTTCCAGTGACAACTGAAAACATTGGTGTGTTCTCAGTGTTTCTCTCCTAACAAATCCCAGCTGAACCCAAACCCCAGCACTGTTCTAGATACTAAAAAGAAACCAGCTCTGTCCCAGCTAAAAACCAGGACACCCAGAAAGCAGGAGGACACCCAGAGATGTGTGCCTGGGTTGCGGCAGATTGGGGAGCACAGTGGCTCTGTGCTGCAGCAGCATGTTTCTGCCCTTGCACAAGGAGAGGTGAGGCCATGGGTTGGGCTCCTTCAGCCTCTTGTCAAACACCAAGTTTCCAGCTTGCTTTGATCTTGGAGTCTTCCTGCATTGCTCTGTTGTTTTGCTGAAGGGCTGTGACTTGGCAGCTTTAAAAAACTGAGGAAAAGCATTCCTGAAAGCAGAGAGCTCTCGAGGGTATGCAAACCAGAGCAATGATTAAAACCATGGAAGCTGTGACTTGCCTCTCTTGGGGCAATCCGGCTGCTGGGAAGAATTTCCAGGGAAGGCTGGTATGGTCTGCAGGGCTGTGTCCTGCTTTCCAAGAAGTCAGAGGTGCCTGTAGGCTGGTGTCAGAGGAGAATCTTGATCCACGTGTGGCATCTGTACAGCTTATTGCTCACAGAACATCCATCAGGCCACACAGGAAGAGGTGGGGCTGCAGGACAAGGGAGAACACCAGGCTGCCTCTCCTCCTTGCAGGGTCATGGAGGATGGGCAAGTGCCCAGTGAGGGGACAGGCAGGATGGAAAATCAGCGGTGAGGACAGCTGGACAGTATTGCAACTGGGTGGTGGTACAGCAGTGCCTGACGTGGTAGTCTGGGGACAAGGATGTCCTGGAGCAGAGCTGGGGGCAGAGCCAGCTGCCAGAGTCAGTGCTGCCTGATGTGCTGATGACTCCCAGCATCAGTGCCCATCTGCGAGGTGCTGCCTGCCTCTGCCTTGGACCACATGTGGTGCCCACAGGCATGCTGCCTTGGCCCTACACACTGCATTCACCTGCTGTCATGCCTGTACATTGTGTATGACATGCTGTGCCTCTGCCTTTGTCTCCTGCTCATGTTGGGTCACCCAAGGAGCAGCTGGCTCAACCTGATGTTGATGGGATCAGGTACTCACCATCCTGGCACTTGTGTGCTGAGGACATGCTTGTGTGCACAGGGGCGGCCCCAGGTCAATGTGTCTCATCTGTTGCACTGGAAAAAAATATAATTAAAAAAAATCCACAGAAGCAGTGGAGTGAAGGTCACTCTTAGCTGCAGTTTTGCTGTGATGAGCTTCAGGCACATCCATGAAGCCTTCTAGGGACCAGGCTCAGCTGGACTCAAGCTGTAGAACCTGAAGTGTTAGCTGCATTTTTGTGTGCTTTGCACTAGCTTTTGGGGCAAAATCAAGACAAAGCACAAGGGTAGTGTTGAGGAGCAGGTCACAGTTCAGGTTGTAGGAGAGGCATCAGCTTCCTAAATCCTTCATTTATAGAAATATTCTTGGACTTTGGGTTTGTTTGTTTTTTTGATTTTCCAGAAGCAAAGCATTGATGATCATAACTGACAAACATGAAATATGTTGTCATCTGCCTTAAGTGCACCTGTGTTACTCCCAGCATGCAATCTTCTAGGGTCTGAGGGTTAAAGAGTAGCTAAAAATAGCTCAAAATGACAAAGCTGAGAGCTGGTGAGGGAGTTGTCAGAGGTAGAGTGTGATAAAGGTCATGGTCTTTTCTTCATGAGGTCCAAAGAACATCTTGGATTTCAGCAGCTTCCTGGTGACTTGGCAAAGCCACTCTGGCTCAGTTTCACCTGGGGAAAATTAAGGTCCTTGATATTATTTGGTTTGTGTTTTGTAAACATACTGGCTTTAAAAAAAAATCCAACAAAAAAACCCCCATGCCGAGGCCCTGAGTCAGGCATGAGCTGATTTTCATTGGAAAATCAGAAAGACTCTGGCAAGGCAGGCACCACCTCACCAACCCATGGACAGCTGAGGAGTAAACCAGGTGAGCTCTCTTAGCCTTGCCACCCACAGCAGGTATTTAACTGGTGTGGAAAGGGTGGAGTGGGTATAAGTCATGCTGAGCAAAGGGAAAGCAATCCCAGTCCTTCCTGGAGCAGCTTCTAGGGTTGGTGGTATTTGAGGAGCCCCATTCTTGGGCAAAGTGTTTACTGTGACTGCTTCCTGGCTTTAAGCATCTTCCAAATTTTGTGGGAAAGACCTCAAAGGTGGTGGTGTGCAGTGCACCCAGTGCGATTTCTTTATGCTCTTACTGGGTCCCAGCTATGGGCAAGACAGTCTTTTACAGATACGTGTGAGGAAGGAGACTGTTGTGTGGACAAGGGTTCTCCTTGGGTGGAGGCATGTTGTGGCATGTCGCTGCAATAGCTGTAGAGGTGCCAGATGCTGTGCTATGTTACCAGGCAGGCTGGAGGATGCTGTGAGTTACTTTATTTTTAGGTTTTATGGGTGATTAAGTGCAAATTATGAAGTTTATCTGGGCTGCTCAGCTTCCTTGGAGCACATCGCTGTCCTGCTTGGTGTGGATGGTGTGTTGGGATGTCTGTTCTTCTTTGGAGGTCTGTTCTTCTTTGGAGGTCTGTCCTTCCCTTGGTGCCTACAGGGAAGGAAGAGATAGAGTCATAGAATCATTCAGGTTTGAAAAGACCTTTAAGATCACTGAGTCCAGTGGTGGCTGCTGCTGAAGGCAGGGTGTGGGTGATCAGGGTGACACAACACAGCTGTGTGCTTCTAGAAGGGTGTTCAGGGCATGGAGAGGTGCAGCAACTGGGGACTTTCTGTGATTGTTACTGGAGATAGTGGGGGTGACCAGCACCCTGCACAGACCCACCCAGTTGGCCTTTGTATTTTAAGGGGAGTCATAGCTCTGCTGTTCCAGGTGCTTGTGCTGGTGTGGTTTGGGGGAGGCAGACTACCTCTGTGGCCACCTACCTGCTCTGCAGGACAGGAGGCAGACTTGCTGAATGAGAGCCTCTTCTCAAGACTTTTATCTGAATCCGAGAAAAACAACATTCACAAACTTCCCATCATGGACTGAAGCAGGGAGCCCTGGAGCCCAGCTCCCATCCTGGCAGCTGGAGCTCCCCGTGAGAGCAGCAAGGCTCCTTTCATCACTGGCTCACCTTTTGGCTCCTCCAGTGGCTCCTTTTTCTTCTGGGGATGTGGCAGCAGGACCCGGATCCCTTTCAGGAGGGTGAAGAAAATGATGGTGTGATTGCCTGGTGAGAGAGAAGAGGTGAAGCTGTCTGCTGGCAAATGCAGTCCCTGGGTTGGTGAGGTGGTGCCTGTCTTGCCAGAGTCTTTCAAAGGGGACAACACAGCAGGATGTGTTGTCCCCTTTGAATCCCATGGGGCTTGTACAGAGCTCAAGGAAGGGTGGTTGAGCAAGGACATGAGTTACTCAGATCTCCTTGACTGTGAAGCCACTTAGGGGCTGCAGAGCAGGGGTGACACGTCCCACTCTGGCTCTGCTGAGGGATTAGGGGGTCCTAGGTGGCAAATGGGAAGCTTGTGTACAGTTGCCCCCATGCACAGACGTACTCCGGGCTTTGTGCCCGCATGGCTGGCTTCTCCCAAGAGGAGCTCCACGTTTCAAGCCCGTGAAGTGAGGTGCAGACAGTATGTCCTGCCCACAGCAGGACCAGCCTCTCTGCCCTGTGTAAAAGGCATAGACAGTGCCACAGTGACGCCTGGTGATGGGAGATGGATTCATCTCTGGTACCTTCCCAGCCATGCATGCACCGCATCTGCGCAGAGCAGGAACCCTCAAAGCAAAGAAAAGCCAGGCGTGGGCGATAGGAGAGCTCCTCCGGAATTACAGGTATTTTCCCTGGCAATTTTAGTGCCTTTTAAAGACAACTTAAACCATTTTTCCCAGCTGAAAAGCAAGCTCTTTATCAAAAGGTCAGAAAAGCAAGATCCTTAGATAAAAGTCATCGGTGAAAGTGTGGTAAGGTGGAGAAAAGTGTCCTGAGCAAAAGGTGGCACGGGCATTAGTACAGCCAGAAACAGCAGTTATTTTTGGGTTGCACACTGATGTGGTTTGTCCCTCTGACAGTCAAGGCTGCCTGTGGGTTGGCAGGAGATGCAGAGCTGGAGCCAGCCTATGCTGCACCCCATGGGTACAGCTCTGCCCTACCATGGCGTGACGGTGTCTGTCCTTCCTACTCAGCCAGGCTGAATGTGCCAGCCATGCAGGCTGGGGTAGGAGAAATGAAAGATCACACATCTCTTCCCATGACACACCACCTGAGCTGAGGGATTTTATCCACACGGCTCTGGTTATCCATCCCTGAGAGCTGCTGCAAGGAGCTGTGGCTTGGGGACAATTGTCCTAGGGACGTTTACTGTGGGATTAATGTCCATATGAGGAAGATCAGTCTTTTCTACATGTCCCCAGCTGTCTCTCCAGAGCAGTATTTCAGCATACTCACTCTCTGAGGTGTAGTTAAATATGAGCAGTGGTGGGATTCTCCTAACCCTTGCACCAGCTTGCACTGATTGAACATCTCTCTCTCCCAACCAGTTTTCTGAAGACCTTGGCAAACGTATCTTTGTCCCAGATAACACAGCAGGGAGCTCCTCTGTAACACAACACTTTGGGCTTGTCACTAAGCTGGGAATACATGTGTGATGGGTTAGGTTTTGTCTGGTTTTTTTTTCTGGTGGCAAGAAGCTTTTGCATTAAAACAGCTGTGTTTGAGAAGGCCCTGAAAGTGCAGTGAGCTCCAGCTGGACATTGCATGTTATTCAGGGGAATACCCAAGGTGTGGGGTGGTTTGAGCTAATAGATGTGGCTTGACAGTCTTGGAGCACACCAGCACAGGGGTCTGTTACCCCAGCTTGGGTGTGGAGCAGTAGCTCAAGCAACTGCGTGTAGGTATTAAAATCTTATAACTCTGCTGATTTTTAACCAGAACTTGACAGTGATAAATGACAGGGAGCAGAACACTGGCTTGCTGTCACCCACTTGACCATCAAAGCAAGATTAGCATGTGCCTATTTTGGTTTCCCCTTTAATCAAAAATCAATTAGCTAATTATCAAATGAATATTCAGCCAGGGAGCTGGATTGTCAGGCAGACTGACAGCACCTAGTACCACTTTCTTTGTGTTTTGCAGTGTAGAGTTATTCAATGCATTGGAATGAAACAAGTAGATGAGGAAGGGGGAAAAGAAAAAAAAAAAATCCCTTTCCCCAGAGATGTCCTAGTGAGTGTCACCTCAGATCCTGATGAAACTTGAAGTCCCTTCAGATGTTCAGAGCATCCTCCAGATAATGCCGCTGAGCCTGGTGTTTGGCTGCACGGTTCTCCTTTTCCTGCTCCCATCTGACTTGCAACCCAAAAGATCAGTTGCTTTATTTCTGTTTTAGGGTGTGTGCCAGAGTATTTTTAGCTTGGTTTTTGAAGTAAACAAGAGTTATGCAACAGTTCTTTGCTCTTGAAGTCTCTGCACACACTTCCCTATTCCCCAAAGAAACGTCTAAAAGCCCCCCTGGGTGATTTTGACTAGATTTGATAGGAAGGAATGGTTTCAAAGATGTTTCATTTTCCAATAGGCCTGCACCACATACATCCTCAAAGCTGTGTGAAGGAAGGAGTTTGGCTTTTCTAAGGAAAACCCTGTGGGACACCAAAAACCCATGTCTGGACATCTCTGCATTGGAAGAGCAAGCTTGAGGACAAATGTGGAGCAGGGGGACAGGCACCCAGCTTACCTGGACTGTAGGTGTCAGATGATTTGGGGGTTTTTTTACTGGGTGAAGAGATTGGGACCCTGTCCTTCACCGGGACCTGAAACCTCCTTGTCGCCTTCCAGGTGCAGAACCTGTATGAGAAATACTGAAGACGCCAAACCTCCAAGCAGACATCTACAGCTGAGCTTCTGGGGAGTGTCTCCTCTGTGTTTTCATCATGTCAGAGGAACAGGTGGCTGGAGAAAGAGGCTGGAATCCATAGAGCCTCCCCCACCTTGGGACAGAGGGGATAGGTACCTTTTCCAGAAGTGAATCAGGATGGGGATGATGAGGATCTTGGCCCTATGGTAGAGGACACGATTCAGTAGCCCCTTGGAAGATAAACTCATGATGAAATCTCTCTCTTCTTCAGAGATATTTACCTGGACAAAGAAGAGACCTTGATTAACCAAAGCAGTTTGTGGCACTCCTGGTGGGCCCTAGAGGCATATGTCTCTCCTTGACCCTATCTTGCATTTCAGCAATCTCTAAGAAGAGATACTAGTTATGTCCTGGCCAACTGTCCCAGGTATAAGGGTGGGATGACCCCTGGATTTCTGTGGAAAGCACTGTGCTGGGCTTTCCAAAGGGAAGACAGGCAGAGCCATGGCTACTGTAGGGGAAGAGGTGGGGAGGGGAGGATGGTGACATTGGAGAGTGAAAGGACTGAGGTGGTGGAGTGCAGTGCCCATCTTGGAGTTTCAGCCCTGGTATTTCTCCAGGAGGTAGGGGATTTCATCATCTACATCCACACACTTGTCCTCAATCTGTCTGGGTCAAGTGGTAGCATGGGTCTAGTGGTGGATCACTTCCCATCCCATGGAGCCCAAGTGGAGATCCTAAGCTCCAGAGCATGCTCTGAAGCTTCACAGTGTGCTTTGGCTGGAGCAGATCCAAACTTCTGCCTGGTTCCCCTTTCCCCACAACCACTCACAGCTGCAATGCAATGGTCTTGAGCAATGAGCAGCCTTCAGCCTTCCTGGGTGGGTCACAGCATCTTACCCGCAATTTGGGAGGAATATCAGAGTTCAGGAAGAGCTTGCTGATGATGGTGACTTTCCTTTTGAGAAAGGCAACTTCATTTTCTGTTTGCATGTTGCGGGCTGCCAAAGCTTCAATTGAATCAACCAGCCTGGAAAATCTGCAAAGGCATGTGGGGTCTTGCTCTGAGACAAGCCAACGTGACTGCTGGGCTAGACAGTCATGTTCTGTCTTAGCTCTGTATTTACTGGGTCAGAAAAAGCAATCCATGAGGTGTAGAACAGCGAAACAGGTGGGATGAGAAGCCACTTCCCTCTTCTATTGCCCTTGTGGTCATGGAATTCACCTGGGGGATGTGATGTTTGCCCTCCTTCAGCAAAAGAGGGGAATTGAAACCTGGTCTCATGCATGTGGAGTTGTGCTGACTGCAGGGCTCCTGTGCATTGGCCATGACTTGCTCTTACAGGTTTGTCAGGGAACTGGACAAAGTCAATGGAGAAATGCCACAACTGGCACATCAAGTAATCTATAAGCAAAATATTACATTGCTTGGGATTATCAAACCAAAAGTATTTCTAGGGTACTCACACAGGAACCCTTATCCAGGGGACTATTTCTGGCTGAAATGGAGGGATTGTGTGGCTCCAGGGGCAGGTAACCATGAGATTAGATGGTTACCACCATCCAGATTAGATGTAGACAGCTACAGGGTGAAACTGGTTGTGTTGTATGCTGCAGTGTGATGTCCAGATAGTAGCCTTGCAGAGAGGTGCTGGCTGATGGGAGTTTAGGAGTGACAGCACAGACCTTAGTGTGTGCTAACAAATCCATGGTCCAGGTTCCATCCCCTGCTGAGAGACGGCCACTACCTGCAGGATGGGAGACTGGTGGTACCTGAGCACCTGGTGGAAAGAGAACTTACTTGTCAATCTCCAGGTAAAAGTGGAGGTCATTAACGAGGAAGTTGATGGTAACGAGCTGGCTGTTGAACAGACGACGTTTCACCAGTACCACCTCCTTGTCCTGAGGGGTGCTGGCAGAGGCTGCGTGGGAGCGGGAAATGCTCATGGTGCTGCTGCTCTGCGTCGATCTGGACAAGTCTAAGAGATGGGAAGAGCTGTTGTGTCCTGCTTCTCCCAGCACTGGGCATCTGATGCTGAGCTATACCCTGCTCAATCACCTTACCTGTGCTTCCTTTACCTGCATGCAAGTACTTTGAGGGTCTTTCTACCTATGTGGACTATAACCTTCCTGCAGACAGGTTCTCCAGGGAATTGAGACCTATCCAGTGTTCAGCCTTTCCCCTAGCTTGGTTCCTCCATCCATCCTCCTCTTTGCACTCATGGTATGCTTATGTTTTTAGAGGGGATGGCCACAGCTGATCAAAAGTCTATCTATCTGTCTAGCCATTATCCCTTTTTCTGACAAGCAGATGTCTACAGAGAAGAAAAGGTAAAACATTTATCTTACTTTCCCCCTATACAATATTCTCCAGTTTCCAAACATTTTCATTTCCAGGGACTTCTTAATCTAGGTGGGGTTTCTGTGTATTTAGCAATTTCAGTGGATTTCTTTTCTAACAGCTTTTCCAGCCTCTTCTTGAAACTGTGTGTAAACTTCCAGGATCTACATCCTTTGGCAAAACACTCTGTAGGTCAGCTCCCTGCTGCATACAAAACAATTTCCTGTTGTTTATTTTTTGGCCTGTGTCACCTTTGCTTCATTTAGTGCCTTCTGTTTTTTTTTGTGGCAGGGATGCAAACTTGAGTATATATTATTGCTTGAGAGAGATGCAACAGCATCATGGGGCACCCGCATCAGGAAACCAGATATTGTATGAATGTGTTTATGTGCCTGTGCAAAATTGTGGACCTCAAATCCTGACTCCAACACCCAAGCATGACATTTCTGCACAGCAATATCTGACATCCTGAGACACCTGCTCTTCTGGCTCTTTATCTGCCTTCAGCAGAGAAAAAATAAGTCAGTATATGGGAGAGGGGAAATGAGCCAGAGGTTTCCTCCATTTACTTCTCTGCCTAAACCCAGGACAGTCTTGGGGAAGGGAGGAGAGGGGGTGATAGGAGTCTATCCATACTTTCCTCCTCATTTCTTAGTTCCCACTGGAGAAAGTCCTCAAACTCAGCACGGTGTTTGTCATTGTCCATCTCCCTCTGAAACTTGCAGATGCTCTTGATGATGTCGTGAATGGTATACCAGGCACGCCGCTGTGGAGACACGGCACAGCTTGCATCAGCCAGCAGCACGCCCCAGGAAGCCAGCCCCTGGCTGCAGCAAGACGGCTTGCTCCTAGACAGAACCCTCTCATTTGGACCCACCACTGTGAGCTGGAGCACCAGAGCCCAGCCTTGGCACTGGGATTTGTGACCCAGCCATCATCTTTACTTTTCGGTATTTCTGGGTTTCACTAGTGGCTATAGGTCATAGTGTGAATCAGTTGGCCAGTCCTGACCAAATCTGGGGGAGTCTATGTGGAGAGCAGAACTCCAGAGCCTGTAAGAGTAAGGCTTTACCTACCAGCTGCCTTTTTGCAGCTCTCTGAGTCTGACCCTCTCACCCCATTTATGTCAGCACTGCTTGACCCACAGCATCTCCTCTCTTTCTTGCCTGGACAACATCTTCAGCCTACCAGCAGAGATGGTCGTTCCTTACCAGCTTGTCTGTCATGATGTTCCCCATCCCATACAAATGAAGGTTAGACTTATGTGCATCACTTGGGGGGAACAGGTCCTGGTACTCTTTAAACCTGCCAGATGGGGGATCAGAGAGAGAGAGAGCATCAAAGGCAGCCAGATGCATGAGGAGGGCAGTGATTTGGTAGGAGAGTGGCTAAGTGGGGAGACCAGCTAAGAGGGATAGCCCTGGGGTTGGGGTTCCATGGGATTTCTGTTCCAGGAGGAGGTTGGAGAAAGGGACAGGGGCCTGGATCCCCTCCCCTGGGCTCTGTTCTTGCACATAGCAGGCTTGGGAGCATCCACCCTGCTTATCTGCAGCATGTTTCCTCCTCCAGTCCAGCATTCCACAAACCCAACAGTGATTTGCTCTGCACGGACAAGCCCTGCCAGCCTTACACAGGCAAGTGCATCAGCTGCTGCAACAGCAGTTTTGCTGGGGTGAGGGTCTGGCTGGGATTTTGATGCACCAGCTGATAGTTCATAGGGAAATATGTTTGTAGCAGTTGCTGTCTGTCACCTTGGGGTTCCCATGGGAAGGATGTGTTTGTGTAACCACTGCGTTTAGGAAACAGCTCAACCCACGTCCTCACCATCGTTTTTCCATTGCTCTCTGGACAAAGATCTGTGCTGTCATCAACATTGAGGAGCTGACTACTTCGGCATCATTTATTTCTCCGATGATAGAACTGTGGCAGTTCAGCCGCTCCTCTGGAAGAGAAATGTGGTCATTGCCTGCCCCTGCCAGCCACCCCCGAGCCATCATGACATCTCGTCCTACCCTTGCATCTTGTGGCACCTTGTCCCATCTCTGCCATCCTGCCTGCTATTTGCTGGATTTGGTTGTCTCATCCCTTTTCCTTTCTATATTGTGCTAATCATGTACTTTGGGAGTGAAGCTGTGACTAAAGGAGATAAGATAAGGAAGAGCTATTTCTGCACACATGTTGCAGGTCTTGATCAGTAGATTCTGCCAAAGGAGACCACTGTCCTGGAAATATAAGTGGCAGTGGAAAGCCTCAGCAAATAAATGCTCCACTAGATGGGAAAGGAGAATTGGCAGGTCCATGCAAGAGGATATAAAGTCTGTTCAGGGAAAAGAGGCTTTCATCATGAATGGAGTAAAGTGCAGGATGGGAGGGCACCTACCTGCTGGGATTTCAGTATGGAAATAACTTTTGACAATGCTGTTAATGAGTAAGCTCTTTCTCTTGGGGTTGGTCTCTGTGATCAACTTCTCCACAGCCATCCAGAAATCCAGTGGTTCATCTGCGTTGTGCTCCTTGAGGAACTGTTTGAAGTACTGCAGGTGAGCAGGGTTGTGCAGTACTTTCATGAAGTGCCTATAGAGGAGGAGACACCAGGAGATGTGATCTCTGTACCACCAGTGACCTGGAAAATAGCCAGGACCTCTGTGCTTGCTTCTCCAATGAGAGAGAAACACATGAAGAAGAGCTACAAACACGTGGATGAGTGGTGCATGGGATCTGTGAAGCAGATGGGCCAGTAAAGGTACTGGTGGAGCACAGCCTCCCTTCTCTGCCTTGCCAATAGAATCTTTTAGGTTGGAAAAGACCTTTAAGATCATCACCCACCGAGCCACAGGGAATTCAGGGCAGGGATTCTTCTGACAAGTTGTTTCTTTTCTGCCACAGGTGCACCTGCCCAACAGCTTTGTTGCCATGTATTCAAATGAACTGGTCTCAGCCTGAAGAGGAGGCTTCACCCAGCAAGTCAAGGAGAAGGCAGGACTTTGGGTCTGTGATGGAGACCTCAGAACCTGCAAATAGACTGAGCAGCCCCACAGAGACCAGGGGAGGGAGGTAGGTAAGGATGGGGCACCTAGAAGGACTAGTGGGAAGAGGAGGTTGTGTTCACCTCTGGCACTTGCTGAGAATAAACAATAATTTGCCCCTGGCTGGCAGACAGCTTCATGTGTTTGGCTGTGTAGAGGGTGTTCTGGAGTGGAAAACCCTTGCCACCTGCAACTGGTAGATCAGGAGATTATGGATCGATGTAAAGCCAGGGGATAGTTACATTGAAAAGACTCAGCAGAGCTTTGGAAAGCCAGAGCTGGGAGTGGACTGGGATTTTGGGTCACTTCTGAGGTTAGCAAGCTCTTATTTGAAGATCAGTAGACCAACTCAAATATTTTCTTTGTTTAAGTGTGGCTCCTGAGACTACTGACTTTCACAACAAACAATAAGAGCTGTTCCTACTCAGGACTTATGTCCTGGTTGCCATTTATATTCCAGTGCGGAGCTGTGAGGATTCGTGTCTGGAGTATTCCCAGGAGCCACATGGGCATTCACATGGTTGGTGAAGATAAAGATTTAAGTGTGGTCACAGGGTGATTTTAAGTGATTTCTCTGGGAATCTGAGAGCTGCCCAGCTGTAGTACAGGTGACATGCCAGGAAGTGACTGAGGATGAAATGCGTGAGACATGCACAAGATATGAGGAGTAAATCTGGACTGTGGGGTTGGGGGTGTGTTAAAACATTTTTCTTCTTTTCCTGGTAATTCTACGGTTCAGATCTACAGGCCACCCATGCCTACATCTGAGAGGACCCAACGATGAAGCAGGGAGCACTGGCACTACAGGAAATCTCTGGGAAAAATCTGCTTCCTGAAAGAGTGGAAGTAGCAAAAAAACCCAGCAAGGTGCTGTGCTACAAGGTGCCAGACCTGGGTCTTCCAGATGGCTTCTCTACTGCAACAGTGGTGGGCTTTGTCATGCTTGATCTGGTTTTCCTCAGAGGAACAGTCCTCTTCCTTCTTTTCTTGCGTCCAGCAGCTGTGGGGAAAGAACAGGGTTGGCCCTTTCTTCAGGTGATGACCGGAGCCTGCTGACAATTGTCCGAAGGGCGAAGGAGGCCAGAGCCACCATGCTGATGTCTGCATGGTGAGCCCGGCTCAGGAGACACTGGGTGCTATGGGAACTCCACCTCTGCATGGTTTGACCTCCTTGGCTTCTGCTTCAGACCCCCCCTGCCACTTTCACCCTCTCTGGGTGAATTAACATCCCCAAACACATGCCCTTCCAGAGTGGTTAAGCCTATCTCTCCTTCTGGAGATTTTCTACCAGATGGTGGGATGCAAGCAGGGAAGACCACTGCTTGTTGAGTCCCTAAGGGTATGCTGGAGTGGTGTGATAGTTGGAAGCCCACCTTGCTTCTAGCCTGCTCAGACTGGACTCACCAAGTAATGGGCTTTTGAGACACAGAAGCTCATTCTCGTCGCCTGGGGTATCCATAGTCAGTGAGAGTTCCTCAGCAGCCAGCTTGTTTGACATCACCTTCTGGGAGTCTGCATCAGAGAGAGGAGAGGGGGTAGATCCCACGTTCATTCTTTCTGGCTATGACAACCCTTCAGCCCTTGCTCTGAGTGCTATATTGAGATTGTTACTCACATTTCCTTTCCCCTTGAGGGTCCTGTTCCTGTGATCTACCCATGACATTGCATTTCTTAGGTATGACCAAGGCCCTACAAGCTACCTAAGGGTTGCTACAGGTGACTGCTGTCACACTCGGTGCACCGGCACATGCCCAGAAACTTTGTCATTCTCAAAAGATGATGTGAGAAGACAAAGCTCTGAAGTGTTACACCAGCATGGCCAATCCCAGTATCCACAGGAGAAGGTCAAGATGTGGAAGTGGGGTGACAGTAGCTGCCTCCCTTTGATCTGGTGACCCAGGCTAGTGTGGGGATGTGGCATTTGGTGCCCCTGGTACTGGCAGGAGGGAATTTGGCCCATAGGTCACTGCCAAAGCTTGGATTACAGCCGATGGCTCCCAGATACCGTGTCCCAACCCACTCCATGATGTCCATCCCCTGTCAGCCATACAGCAATGCACCTATGTGCTAGGGGCATTGGTTGCTGCGGCACACAAAATCTGCTTTATCAGCCTGAACCAACATGAGCCAGAAATTCAGAGCTTCCTCTTACCAGTGCTGCACAGGAGAGTTTCCACCTCTGCCTGGATGGAGCCCCCTTTCCGGAGGTCCCGAGTAGCAATTAATTGCCAGTGCTTGGAGGAGACATCTTCAAAGTTCCTCGTGCCATGCAAGGTCTGGCTCAGCTTCAAGGCCTGGCTTGTCCGCTGGGACAGGAGGAAACATTCATCTTTCCCAACAGCATGGCCTTCCATGTCGGGCATCGGGACATCACTATGTGGACACTGCAGCAAGAAGAGCAGAGAGTGATTGCACAGAGCACACACCCCATCTGAGGAGCTGTGGCTACCTGCCTGTTCTACTGTGCCTTGGGGTACAAACCTACCCAAGAGAGATCTCTGCTTTAGCCTCAACATGTCTAGAAAAAAAATCTATGTGAGCACAAAGCTCAGCATAGACCTTAAATCTATCTGTGAAGCTGCTGAAAGCTGGTTCACATCTGCCTGCAGCTGGGATGTATCATAGGATCATAGACTGGTTTGGGTTGAAGGGACCTTTCAAGGCCATCCAGTCCAACCCCCCTGCAGTGAGCAGGGACATCTTCAACCAGACCAGGTTGTTCAGAGCCCTGTCCAACCTGACCTGGAATGTTTCCAGGAATGGGGCTGCTACCACCTCTCTGGGGACATGCAGCACGTCCCCCAGGTAATCCAGACAATGGCTTGCCAGCAAAGGCAGCAGCTTTCCTGAAGGAGTCAACATCCACCCAGGAAGGCTGAAAACAACCCTGAAGGTGTCCCCAACAGACAGGTAACCTCGTGTGCCTTTTTGGCTGGCTGCTTTCCCTGGGACTGGCTGTTGGCCAGTGTCCTGGGAATACCTCCCTTGCTCCACGCTGAGACCCTCCCTTGGGTTTTGGCCCTTCCCACTGGTGAGCAGTTTGCAGGACTCCCCAAGCAGCAGGGTCAGAGCAGCTGGTTTCTGACTGAGATAGTGATAGTTTAACACACTGCTGAGAGCAAGCACCAAAAATAACCCTGCTAAGCCCTGGAGCAGTTCCCCTGACATCACTGCAGTGAGGCCCAGGAGGAGTCTGGCTTA